GTTATGTAGACCAGGCTGGCCTCGAACTCACAGATCCACCAGCCTATGCCTCCTGAGTGCTGGGATTAAAGGTGTGTGCCACCACACCCTTTATTTATTATTTTTATTTTATGTGTATGAGTGTATTGCCTGCATGTATGTGAGTGCACCCGCGTCGTGCAATGCTGCGGAGGTCAGAAGAGGGCTTCGGATTCCCCTGGAACTGGAGTTAAGGACAGTTCATAGCCATCATGTGGGTGCTGGGAATCGAACCCGGGTCTTCTGCAAGAGCAGTCACTGCTCTTAAACGCTGAGCCACCTCTCCAGCCCCCGCAGATAAAATGTTTTTAAAAATAAAAACGGGGCTGGAGAGATGGCTCGCAGTTAAGAACACTGACTCTTCTTGCAGAAGACCTGGGTTTGAATGCCACCACCCACATGGCAGCTAACAACTGTCAGTAACTCCAGTTCCAGTGGATCCAACAGCCTCTTTTGTCCTCTGTCGGCCTTGCACGACACGGGTGCACTTACCTACATGCAGGCATAACACTCATACACATAAAATAAAAATAATAAAATATATTAAAAAATATTTTGCTAGGCGTGGTGGTGCACGCCTTTAATCCCAGCACTTGGGAGGCAGAGGCAGGCGGATCTTTGTGAGTTCGAGGCCAGCCTGGTCTACATAGTGAGTTCCAGCACAGCTGGGGCTACAGGGAGACCCTGTCTTAAAAAGACACCCCCCCAAAATATTTTTATTTGCTAGGCATGGTGGTGCATGCCTTTAATCCCAGCACTCAGGAAGAACAGGCAAGAGGATCTCTGTGAGTTCAAGGACAGCCTGGTCTACATAGTGAGTTCCAGGTCAGCTGGGGCTACAGGGAGACCCTGTCTCAAAAAGACCGAAAAAAAATTTATTATTTTTATTTTATGTGTATGAGTGTACTGCCTGCCTGCATGTATGTGAGTACACCCGTGTCGTGCAATGCCCTCAGAAATCAGAAGAGGGCATCAGTTTCACCTGCAACTGAAGTTATGATAGATGGCTGTTAGCTGCCATGTGGGTGCTGAAATCAAATTTGAGTCCTGTGCAAGAGCAGTCAGTGCTCTTAACCTCTGAAACATCTCTCGAGCCTATATTTTTTGTTTTTAAAAGATAGGGTATTGCCGGGCATGGTGGCGCACACCTTTAGCCCCAGCACTTGGGAGGTAGAGGCAGGCAGATCTCGAGTTTGAGGCAAGCCTGGTCTACATAATGAGTTACAGTCCAGCTGGGGCTACAGGGAGACCCTGTCTCAAAAAGACAAAAAAGAAAAGAAAAGAAAAGAAAAGAAAAGAAAAGAAAAATATAGTGGCTGGCTTGGAACTTACTATGGCTACGTAGATCAGGCTGACCTTGAACTCACAGAGATCCACCTGCTTCTGTTTCCCTAATGCTGGGATTAAAGGTGTGTGCCATCATGCCCACCTTGTTTTTTAATTATGTGACTAAGTCTTCACATCAGCAAGTCTGTCTTCAGTCTCAGCAGTTCAGTCCTACACCTACTCTGAGGACATGATGGGCCAGGGGAGTCTGGGTCAGGATTCTGGGAGGCTGTGGTATATGCTCAAGAGGCTATGGCATGGGCAGCTACAGGATCCCCCAAGGCCCCAGTCAAGCTGAGACAGGGGGAGGGCCAGGGGTTGGGGCTGTGGGATCTGGCTCTGTAGGCTGAATAAGACCTTGCTGGAGATTCCAGGAGAAGGTAACTCCAGGTGCAGCCTGCAGTGCAGGAGGCCAAGCTTGGTTCATTGATACCTGGATAGGACAGGAGAATAGGTAGGGATTTTGCCAGTGCAGAGTAGGGACCCAGCACAGTCCTCTGTTGCAGGCTGGTTGACCTGCAGAGAGACTGGCAAAATCCTGTGAGTGGCCCAGCACTGATAAGGTTACTGGAGGTGTGGTTCAGCTCCTGCCTAGAATCCCCCAGTAAAGCCCTAGTGAGGGGCTGGGGGTGTGTGCCTCAAGGAGACAGCCTAGAATCCCCCAGTGAGGGCCTGGGGGTGTGGCTCAGGGACAGTAATAGCCTAGAATCCCCCAGTGTGGGGCTGGGACACCAACAGAGGTAGAGCACCTGCCTAGATTCCCCCAGTGAGCAGCTGGTGATGTGGCACAGCAGTAGAGATCAAACTTTGTGAGGTCTTGGGTTCCATCCCCAGCACCACACACACACACACACACACACACACACACACACACATATTCGGTGTTCAGTTGTAGCTCTGGTGACCTCCCTCCTTCAGGCATCTGAGCACGTATGTGAACCCCTGTGAGCCAAGGTCCTGTGGGCTTGGTATGATTCCATTCCAGTCCCCCTGCTGAGTCCTTTTGGGACCTCAGCTCCTCCTAGGAAGATGCTCTCAGGTTGGTAGATGTCTCGGGCTCTACAGACCCTGGGCCATGTGTGGGGTGGCATCACTTCAAGGTGCTCTTGAGACTCTGGCTCCTCTCCCCAGCACCCCTTCAGGATGCCAGCCCAGGACCTGTCTACTTCTTGGACCCAAAAGTCACCCGCTTTGGCCGCATCTGTCCCCCTGCCTATTCCATGCAGGGCAGGGGCAAGATTCGGGGTGAGTGAACCGTGTGGGGTGTAGAACTGTCTCTTAAGGGCTAGAGAAACTTCTTTCCCTGTGTCATTGGATCTCTGATAACTTCTGTATTTGGAAGATAAAATCCAGGTCTGAGATGAAGTGTTGCTGCTCCAGTCCCACAGGCCTTGAGGTCAGCCACACATGAGAAGGGCAGACCTCGGTGACCCCAGTGCCTGGGGGTGGGAGGGCTATCTCTGGCAGCATTTGGCAACTCCCTTTGCAGCCCTAGCAGTTTGCTCAGTCACTTGACTCCATTCTATGCCCATATTTTCCACCCTTCCATTCACCCACCCATGCATCCATCCACCACCCGTTCATCCACTCACCCATCCATCCATCCACCACCCATTCATCCACCCACCCATCCATCCATCCACCACCCGTTCATCCACCCACCCATCCATCCATCCACCACCCGTTCATCCACTCACCCATCCATCCATCCACCACCTATTCATCCACCCACCCATCCATCCATCCACCACCCGTTCATCCACTCACCCATCAATCCATCCACCACCTATTCATCCACCCACCCATCCATCCATCCACCACCCATTCATCCACTCACCCATCCATCCATCCACCACCTGTTCATCCACTCACCCATCCATCCATCCACCACCCGTTCATCCACTCACCCATCAATCCATCCACCACCTATTCATCCACCCACCCATCCATCCATCCACCAATTCATTCATCCAACCGTCCATCCACCCATTCATCCATCCATCCATCCACCCACCCCTCACATGTCCACCGAGTCATCTGCCCACTCATCCACTGCCCCTCATTCATCTCTCTTTGCTGAGAGTCTCTGCTGACCTGTCTCCACTGCCCCACCCCTGACTCTCAGTCACACTCTTTGAGTCAAATGCCTGGATACCACTGACATCCTGCCTTCTTTAGTTTCCTGGTGAACTCAGGCTCAAGCTGAGAGCCCCCTTGGGTTGGTCAGGTCTTCAGAGAGGATGACCTGGGCTGGGGGAGTGGTCCCAGAAGGGGTGAAGATTCCTGGAAAGCCTATAGGAAGCAGGAGTGGGGGCTGTGGGGTGGCTGGAGGAAGGATGGAAGGAAGGGGGAGTCTTGGCTGGTCAGGGGCTGAGCCCAGAGAATAGGGAAAAGAATGTGTGCGTGAAGAATGGGGATGGGGTGATATTCTCGGTCTGGGTGAGCTGTAGAGAGCCACTCAAGGTCTTTAGGTAGGTGAGACCTCTGTCCTGTTCCACTGTTCCATCTATCTCCAGGTCGAGAGGTGACACCAGGTCCTGGGGCATACAGCCCTGAGAAGGCACCCCCTGTGCGCCAGCGGAACCCCCCAGCTTTCAGCCTGGGCTCTCGCCTTCAGCCAAAGTCTGTGGACACCTCTGTTCCTGCCCCCAATGCCTATACCATGCCACCCCTCTGGGGCTCACAGATCTTTATCAAACCTAGCAGCCCCAGCTATACCGTGGTGGGCCGCACACCTCCAGCATCTCCCCAACAGGATCGGGCAGAGACACCAGGCCCAGGTCAGTATGAGAGCCCAGATCCCAACACCTACATGCAACGTCAGCCTGCCTTCAGCATACTGGGTCGACCCCGAATCCCGAGGCCCCTGGAGGAGACACCTGGTCCTGGTACCCACAACCCGGAGCAGGTCACTGTAAACCGTGCCAGGGCCCCAGCATACACCATGGGCATCCGCCACTCAAAGCAGGCAACCACCATGGCAGGGGACACCAAACGCTGATGGCTAGAGGGCACGGGAAGCCGGACCCCCTTCTGAGCCTTGTTTTCCTCACAGATCTAGGGGTGCAGGCAAGAGCCTTCTGCAGTCTGAGGTCCTTTGAGGCCACCTGATCCTCCTGTCCCTGGGGGCTGTGACCCAAAGCCCCATTACAGGGTGCAGGGTGAGCCTCCTCCCAAGGCCCCAGTCTCTCCTCCCAGGTCAGGCAAGGCTAGGCCAGGCTGGGAGAAGGGCTCCTTTCCATGGCTGGACTGAAGCTGAGTGTCCTCGAATTTGGTGTCCAGCCCACTTGGGTTTCTGCAGATGAGGCTGGCAAACCCGCCTGAGGTGGCCTTGCCCCCCCACCCCGAGTTGCTTGCCAATAAACATCTCCTCTACCAAAAGACTGTCAGCACTGCACGCCTTTTAACTTTTCTATTCATACCACACTGCTGTCCAGCTCTGCAAACCTCATGGGATTTAGATGAGACAGTTGGGGGCCCAGGCTCTGGGAAGTCAGAGATGGAGCCTGGGTTTTGAATGTCGGACCAGGAAGGTTCCTGGAGAGGGTGACTGTCAGGCTGGGCTTTGAAGGATATGTAGAATTTTGAAGTATTGTCTTTTGTATTGTAGCTCTAACAGTCCAGAGACCCCTAACCTGGGATACACCAGAACACACACCCAGATCTAGAATACTATGGTCCATACTGGGACCCAGACAGATTCCACACAGGCCCTTTCCAGACCACAACCCTTAGAGCCACCATGCAGGCACCTCCCTGCCCCTATCCCCAGCAGACAGCCAGGTCTGCAGAGATCTGGCTAGGCTCCTCCCCAACACTGGGCTACTGCCTGTGGTGGCCAGAGCCTCCCCCTCCACCCCTTCCCTGGCTATGATCTCATCTCTTACTATTGATCCTGCCAGCCTTAACCCCTCCTCCTCACCTGCCCCACCCAACCCTCTTTGTTTCCCAGAAGGACTGTCCTAGGCAGGACAGGAGGACAGAGACAGGGTGATTGTGACACCCTGTTCCCTCACAGAAGGACTTCCCCTTGGGGTCTGAGTGAGGCATCTCTGAGGTCTCTTGAGGCTGGGACAGGGTAGGTCACAGATCTGGGAGGCAGGAGAGTTCAGAGCATGCGATTCTAACAAAGACCTCAGAAACGGATGGGAGGACAGGGCTCTAGTCCAGGCCTTGGCTTACAGTCTGGGAAACTGAAACTGGGAACAGACACCACAGGCCTCCCATGCCCAGGCTCAGACACCCTCCAGATGCAGCCTAACCATGTCTGGAACGCTTACTTCATTTCTGGGCCTCAGTTTCCCTATTGTGCCTCTGCCCCGCCCGAAGTAACGTTAGGCACAATCCTGCTGGAATGGTGTGTGGGGGGGGAGGCGGGGGTTAAGGTGGGAGGCTTGTGTTCCTGCAATCTCAGGCCTCAGTTTCCCCACGCAGCTGTAAAGTAGGGCAGGGTCCAGCTGGAACAACGGCGAGGGGAGACCCTGAGGTTAGAACCTTGTGTTTCATCCCTTATTGTGACTCCCTCCCCAGGCTTCAGTTTCACCACTCAGCAGTAAAGTAGGGCAGGGTCCAGCTGGAACAGCTGTGAGGGAGACCCTGGGGTTGGAGGCTTCTGCCTCGCCCCGCCTCTGCTACCCCAAGCCTCAGTTTCTTTACTGTGACTTCACCCTCGCACTAAGCCTCAGTTTCCCCATGGCTCAGAGGGTGACAGGTCAGCCCCTCCCAGCAGCTTGCATTGGTCCGGGGCTGGGGTCCCGGGGGCGCGGCCCCCCGCGGCTGCGCGCTGCGCCGGGCGGTGACATCACCCAGCGGGGAGGAGCGCGCGGCTCGGCGCCAGGCGCAGCCGGGACTTTTCGGTGGCCGCGGCCATGACGCAGGGTCCCGGTGGCCGCGCGGCGCCCGAGCCC